CTAACCAAAATATCGAAAGAGAAGGCAAAAGCCACAAAGCCGAGGCAGGCAGTCCTTCTGGCTGCAGCAAGTGCTCGTAGCTGTGGCCTTGCCAGCAGCTCTCTCTCCAGTGGCCTTGCCAACTTGGAGAGGGCAGCCCAAGCTGACTCCTTTAGGACTCTGCCATGGCATGGACCACGCCAACCAGGACTGCGCCACAATACCTTTTGCTGTTCTAGTTTGCTCTTTTGAATATGCTTTAGCCTCTCTTGTGACTCTTTTAACTTTTTCTTTCTATTGAGGGTCTTTTCTTCTGAAGCTTTGTGCTTTGATTACTGTATTTTCCATGCACATTTTCAACATCATTGAGATATAGTTTTCCTTAACTTGCTTTTTTCATTTAACTATAATATTACAAAATTTTCTTTTTTGTTTGTTTGTTTGTTTGTTTGTTTGTTTGTTTTTTTAAAAGATGACCGGTAAGGGGATCTCAACCCTTGGCTTGGTGTTGTCAGCACCATGCTCAGCCAGTGAGCAAACTGGCCATCCCTATATGGGATCCGAACCCGCAGCCTTGGTATTATCAGCACCGCACTCTACCGAGTGAGCCACGGGCCGGCCCTTACAAAATTCTCTTAATAAATATTTTTGAAAATAATTTCTAGGAAATGTATACTTTGTCATAAATAATTTATTCTTTTTTGACATTTGCAGTTTTTATTTTTTCATGTTATGAATAATGTTGTAAAGAATATCTTTGTGCATGAATCTTTATCCAAATATTTGATTATTTCCTTATAATACATTCCTAGAAAAGTTAAACTAATCTATGCTACTACTTGGTGCTTATAAAATTGTCTATTTAACTGTACCCTTGGTGCACTGACTCATCACTTCTACTGTTATATTTTATTTTCCTGATTATTTTAATAATGCATATTTATGGTGAAAAAATATTTTACTTATACAAGTATTGTTAAACCTGCAGTTTTTTAGTCTAGAGTAGATATGGTATTATGCTAGTGTAGAACAACATCTTAAAGCACAGTTCTTTATTTCAATACTGTTGATTTCTGCAAAGGAAAACTCCAGGACTAAGAATTCCCAAATAGATGAGCACAGCAAGAAGTTCAAAGAGCTAGAGAAAGACAACACACAACAAATATTATTAAATATTTGGCAGAATTTGCAGATTGCTACAACACCAAGATTGGAAGAGAAAATTCGGAAGCTTCAGAAACAGCTGAGTGATTTGAAATTGTCAAATAAAAATATGAAAACTCAACTGACAAGAGTAAATGCCCTTAAAGTAAGTAAAAGGAAGTGAGGTTTTCAAAAATTCACTTAAGCTTTGGTCCATTACTATTTTAGCTACATGTTTCTCATTAAACTTTTAAAAAATTAATATTAAAATTATCTTACATACATATAAAAGTATATATAATTTAAAAACATATAGAATAATAAAATCAGATGCCTGCAAATCCACTATTCATTTTAAGAAACAGATTATTACTAATCCCATTGAAGTCACCATCCCTGTTCCTCAAAGGTAACTGGTATTCTAAATGTTCTGATTATAAAATCTTTTGCTTTTTTAGTTTTACTTTAGTATCTTACTGGGGTAACAGTTAAAAGTTCTATTCATTTTTTTTGCTCTTCTTTCGACCTTCTCCCTATCAAGTTTCAGTTATACTATTTCAAATGTAAATTATGCCAAATATTTACAAAATAATTGATCAACTGATATGCCAGGTTTTTTTTCTTTTTAAAATTATGATATGCTGGTTTATCAGCAATATTTCTCTTACTGAAGAGCCAACTATTTTCTTTATTTCCATATTTGATTCATATAGGCTGTAAGACCTTTGAAAACATGGAAAATGTGTTTAAATCCCAAGTGCTCAGTTTATAAAAGTGCTAAGTGAATGTTGGTTATTGATGAGTATGATGGTGGAGAAATGTCCTCTTAATTCAGAAATTGTGGAATATTTTTTCCGTTCCATATATCTGTCTATTAAAAAATTTAAAAAAAGAAAAAGAAGCCTGAGTTATCATGCCTGTCTGCTGTTTACAAGAGATCTAATCACTGTCATCTCCCTCATACTCTCTCACAGGACAAAACAATTGAAAAGCTCAGGCAATCTTTAAGAAAAATGGAAACAATGAAAGAGAAGGCAGTTATGAAAACAGACAACTTGAAAACTACATTAGACTGTGCAGAGCAAGAGGCAAGATCAGGCAAAGAGAGGGCCCATGAAATGCTAGACCCTATCACTCCTAAACTCTCCACAGCAAAGAGAACACTTGAAGAAGTATCAGGACAAGAACAAGAGGTTGTTTTTTTTTTTTTTCTTTCTTATTATTATGTTAAGGTTAAATTAGTTGAAGTGATACGTACTCACCTAAACTAACTTAGACAAAAGGGAATGCATTGGCTTTATGGAATCAAAGATGTGTTGAACAATCTAACCTCCGGGAGGACAGAGATGCACCTGGGCCCCAAGATGAGCACCTGGAACCTAACAAGGCCTTTCTCACCACCTCTTCTTGTTATCTATGTTTGTCTGACAGCCAGCTGTTTTTCTCCATATGATAGTAAACATGGCCACTGACAACTATGGAGTTTTATATTTAGTTTCTGCGACAAGAGAGAGAATCCCAAGAAAGGGTTTTATTGGCCCAGTTTTGGTCAAGTGATTATCCTGTGTGAATCCATGGCTAGGGATGGGATGTATGATTATTTTAGCTTAGGTTTGCTCACATATCCTCTGATTTATCAGAGTATTTATCTGAGTTATCAGGAGGGTAGGGTCATGTGAGAGAATGAAAGCTCAAAGGGAACCATGTGTGTCACTTTCTGTGTCATTTTCTAGGAGAATAGCACAGTGCTTCTAAACGTGCTTAGATGTTCACAATACTTTTATAAAGCAAGTATTTCAAGAGAATTTTTTAAGGGCTAACTAATCATTTTGGGCAATTGGTAAATTATATGTCACACCTCCATATATGAGGGTACTTCAAAAAGTTTGTGGAAAAATAGAATTAGAAAATAATGGGAGTCTTTTCATGATCTTTTTGAAGTACCCTCATATTAGTTGCTTAAAAAATTTGAAACTTTAACCAGTTACCTTAAGATATGTTAACATAAAATCATGATATTGGGCCGACCCCGTGGCGCACTCGGGAGAGTGCGGTCCTGGGAGTGCAGCAGCACTCCCGCCGCGGGTTCAGATCCTATATAGGGATGGCCGGTGCGCTCACTGGCTGAGCGTGGTGCAGCCAGTCACCAAAAAGAC